TATTAAATTATGTTGTCTGTCTTTCATAATTAATTGAAATTTACAACATTAAGAAAAAATTAAATATAGAAATGTTAAAATAAAATATAGAAATAATAAATTATATTAATTTAGAATCTAATGAAAAGTACAATTACAATTGAACAAAAGAAAAAAACTAATGACCGGCTCTATCTAAGTGACCACCGGTGCCACATTGTGGGGGACGCGCGTTGCGACGAGGTCTACGACGAGGTTGTTGTGGTGTGTCCGGTCTCTGTGTGTTGAGTTGTGGAGGAGGGTATGGTTGGGACGGTCCCGGCGTATCAGATAGAGTTTGCATCATTTGACCCCAATAGCCGGGAGGTCCACTGTCAGCGGCGCTTCCGTAGTCAAGCCCAATGCCCATGTTTTCGAAGGATTGTCGGGGAGGTTGGGTGGAGTATGAACGGTATGGTTGTCTGAATGTGTACATGGAATTGGGTTGGTCTATGTGTGTTGGTTGTTGTGGGGTGTGGTAGTCAAATAGTGGGGGGTTGGAGGGGTAGTTGGAGAGGTAGTTGGAGGGGTGGTTGGAGGGGTAGGGTCAAATGAGCGGTTTGGGCTATAGGTGGAGGGGGTAGGCTCAAAAGACGTATCAGGGCTGTAATGGTAAGGTGGTTGAGGCTGAGATTAGGTGGTTGGCATGTAAGGTTGTCGTTGTTGATAGGGGGTATTTGTTGGCATGTATGGGTTTTCGTAAGGCTGGTTTTGGGCATTGAACTGTTGTTGTGGGTTTGACGAAGAATCGCGTTCCCTTGGGTCGGCCAAATAGGTTGGCTGGGACAGGAAGGCTGAAGTCAAGAATAGAAAAAAAAACTGCAATGTGGTCCAGTTGGGCAAATAATATACAAAAACCCAGTATTTTTTGGCGGACCTGATTCATGCAAATTTTTCCCTTTAAAGGTGCGAGACGATGAAGATGTGTGTAACATGTTCCGCAGTCATGAGTATTCTGGGTTCTCAGATATCGTGTTATATGTTACGTTACAACAACAACAACTGTCTCAGCAACTTAATTCGTCTCAACTTTTTTGCGATGAGGAAGATGAACACCCTGAAGTCAATGTCGTTGACGAAGAAGAAGAAGCAACTGAAGTCACTGTTGACGAGATGGTGAACAATCCCGAGGATGAAGTTCAACCTGGAAATGTCTATTGTCCACCTCAACACATGACTACTATCGCCTTAGGTGATGATGAACCCTCTACGGATGTTTTCTACAACCCCAACTACACAACAGAGGGGCAACTAAAAGAGGGTGACGAGTTTCGTACGAAAGAAGATTGTGTCCGGGCTATCAAACAGTTTCACATGGAGTTGTCAGCCGACTACAGAGTCGATCAGACAAATCCGACGCAGTATACGATCTATTGTCGTAACGAGGAGTGCCCGTTCCGATTAACAACATCTTTCAGGAAGAGAAGCGATTCCTGGAAGATAAGGTCAATGGGTCCGTCCCACAGTTGTATAATCTCGAATCCGATGCAAGACCATCGCAAACTAGCTCTAAATTGATTTGCGATGAGATTCTGTCAGTTGTTAGCGACAAACCGTCTTTGAAGGTGAGTACCATAATTGCACATATGGTATAAAGGTACAACTACACTCCTTCGTACCGAAAAGCCTGGATTGCCAGGACTAAAGCGGTTGAAAGGGTGTTTGGAAATTGAGAGGAGTCGTACAAGGAACTTCCTAAATTCCTGGTGGCCCTTAAACACTACTCTCCAGGAACTGTTGCGATATTGGAGACGATGCCTGCTTGTACACCAGACGGGACTTGTGTTAGTGGAAATGGAATTTTCCACAGCGTCTTTTGGGCGTTCGAACCATGCATCAAAGGGTTTGCATTTTGTAAACCTATAATTCAAATTGACGGAACATGGTTATACGGGAAATATAAGGGCACACTTCTCATGGTTGTGGCACAGAACGGGAACAACAACATTTTTTCAATAGCCTTCGCTATAGTAGAAGGGGAGACTGCTGGGGGTTGGAGTTTTTTCTTAAAAAACCTCCGCTCTTACGTGTCTCCACAACCTAACTTATGTTTGATCTTCGATCGACACCCATCCATCGAGAGTGCATACAACAACCATGACAACGGTTGGCAGGATCCTCCCTCGACCCACGTCTATTGCATAAGGCATATTGCCCAAAATTTCATGTGGGAAATCAAGGACAAGACGCTGCGAAAGAAGGTTGTGAACGTGGGATATGCACTAACTGAACCCACATTCATATACTACTGGGACGAGATCAGACTGAACAACGCGGATGCATTAAGATGGATTGATAACATTGATAGGGAGAAATGGACGCGGGCATACGACAATGGGGTGCGATGGGCCAGATGACAACTAACCTCGTCGAGTCAATGAATTCTGTTTTCAAGGGAATCCGAAACCTCCCAATAACTGCCTTGGTAAAGATAACCTATTTCAGGCTAGGATCACTCTTTGATAGAAGACGTACGAAGTGGGTTCGGTATTACAATCGAGCCAACTGTACAACGATATTTCAATGAAATTCAAGAAAGAGGAAGCGGCCAAAGCCAACACACACGTGGTCACAATCTTTGACCGTACAACTGGTTGGTTCAGTGTTGCCGAGTCTATGGATCACAACGAAGGAAGGCCTACGGGATGTTACCGTGTTAAATTGGATAAGAGCTGGTGTGATTGTAGAAAGTTTCAAGCATTTCGTATGCCGTGCTCTCATGTCATAGCAGCATGTTCCAAGTTGCGCCAGGACCCAACCAACCTTCTTTCTGCAGTTCACCAAGTCATCAGTCTATGCAATGTCTACACATGCAGCTTTCAAGTGGTGGCAAAGGAGGATTATTGGCCTCAATACGAAGGTGAAATTGTTTGGCATAATAACTTGATGCGCAGACAGAAGAAGGGTCGGCCTAACAGCACGCGCATTCGAACTGAGATGGATACCACAGACAAGCTTGTGAGATTGTGTAGTTCATGTCGGCAACCAGGACACAATCGTACGAAATGTCCTAACGTAGGATCAAACAGCAGATCATAGTTTCATATGTAACCGTGTCCCGTTAAATTAATATCAAATTTCATTCGATTAATAGCGACTTTTATAAGATTAATAGCAATTTTCATTCGAATAATACCAAGTTTCAATCAATTAAAACCATAGTTAACTGACACAACAACAACATGACAATAGAACGTTGCACGAAGGCAACATAAATTAAACAAACATAACAACAACGTAAATACATAAAACAGAACACTGCACCAAGGCGTCTACGATATCACGGTCATCAACTTTATCTTCTTTGGGGTCAACATCATCACAAGGACACCGGCATCATTTTCCACTTTTCTCCATTCACGAGTCACTCTGTTTCTCCCGTTCTCCTCGACCAGCCTCTCGATTTTCCTAATTTTTTCTCCTGGACCAATATCTCCTTCTAGCCAGCGGTTCAGTTCCTTGTGCAAGTGCTCCAACGTCTGCGTATCGGAGACTTTGTTGGTGAAAACACAACTAGGGCATTTCTTTTCATTAGATCGAACATTAGAAAAGGTTCCTCCAATGCTGATGACGACGACGAAGAACGTTGATTTAGAAATACAGACATTCTAGACTCCACTCAACTCGAACTGCACTAATACTTTAGTCTTTTGGGATATAATGTTGTGAAAACATACATGTGTTTGCAGTCTTATTTATAGTAAAAAAAATAGTACGTACCCTATATGATATGACTTAAATAACCTTACAACATTTACATTATTTAAACTTCAATGAACACTCAATTTTTATGTTTTAAAATTAAAAATTAATTTGAGATCAACATAAATTTATTTAATTGGGTCTAAAATCTAAACTTCAATGAACACTCAACTTTTAGATCAACATAAATTTATTTAATTAATTTGATATTATTTTTATTTAAACCTAATTATTTTAAATTTATTAATTAAAAAATTAATTTTAACATTAAACCTAATTATTTTAAGTTTATTAATTAAGAAATTAATTTAACATTAAACCTATTCGTGCGGTATGTTATTAGTTTATAAATAAAAGAAAAGAAATAGCACAAAAACAGTTATACTTTTCAATATCATAAATAAAAAAAACAAATTGAAAAAAATTAAATAGAAAAAAAATGTTTGAAACACATAAAAAAAATACATAACTATTCATTATTTTTATGTGCTTTACAACTTTAGTAATACAATTTTTTGCCAATAAAATAAAGTAATTTTTTATTATAGAATAAACACTAATTTAAAAACTTAATTTCAGTTAAGAGAATATTTTAAACACTTTTTTACTTTTCTTATAAATTAAAAAATACAAATTATATGTTTTTATTTTTTAGTATCATATAATAATTTGAATAGTTTTATAATAATAATAATAATAATAATAATAATAATAATAATAATAATAATAATAATAATAATAATAATAATAGTAGTAATAATAATAATACTAATAATAGTAATAATAATAATAATAATAATAATAATAATAATAATAAAAGAAAACAAAAGAAGGTCAATATCTTCTTAAAGATTAGCAAGTTTATAAATTAAAAAAGAAATATATTTATTTATTTATTTATTTATTTATTCAATGACCTAAAAACCTCTGTTTTGTAATTTCTTTTTAAACATTCCAATTTAACTCTACTTTGCAAACTTAACAACACTTTGTATTTATTTGTTTTAATTATCAATTGATTATATATAAATCACGTATACTAAAATAATGCTATTTAATTCTCTTAATTTTTTGAAAGTAGAGTATAAATAGATTTAATTTTAAAAAGGACATGGTTATATAAAGTTTGGATTCCTTTAAATTATAATCAAATCAAACAATTACATTTAATTTCATTCCATTTCAAAAATAGAAAATCAACTATTTTCTATCTAAAAAAAGCTAAAGTTTTCGTTCATTTTATTTAGAGTTGTTCATCTTCAACATTCAAAGCTGAAGAAATGCCTCCTCCGGCATCCATGAATTCCGACCTAGAAACTCCCGAAAATACTACTGATTCCTCCATGGCCAGAACTTATCGTGCTTGGAAAGGCAATAATGTAAGTAAACTTATCGTGCTTTGTATTGTTTTAATATAATTCAGTGCTTATGTAGTTATCGTTACTGCAAATTTTTTCAGGTATTTTTTCTTCAAGGGAGATTAATATTTGGACCTGACGTGAAATATATGATTAGAACAATATTTCTTATCGTTGCTCCTGTTGCAGTTTTTTGTGCTTTTGTAGCTAGAAATTTGGTGGATGATTTTCCTCATCACTTTGGTTATTCAATACTAATTCTAGTTATTATTAACACAATCTTTGTAAGTGATAACTTTTATTATGCTGATTTTTTTTGGTTTGTTGATCAAATATACATGAAAAAGTTAAAGTTCAACGCTTATTCTTAGGTTCTGATTGCCCTTCTAGTGACCTCAGGGAGAGATCCTGGCATCGTGCCTCGCAATTGGTATCCTCCGGTGCCGGAAAGTTACCGTGAAAGTGTTGATATCGATATTGAACACAATCGATCATGTAACTTACCACAAATCAAGGAAGTAATTATCAATGGAAAAATTGTTAAAGCAAAACATTGTGATACATGCATGTTATATAGACCTCCTCGTTGTTCTCATTGCTCAATTTGCGATAATTGCGTGGAGCGATTTGATCATCACTGCTCATGGGTTGGTCAGTGTATTGGACTGGTAATGTCCATTAACATAATGCGTTTAAATTTCTAAGTTGGAACTTATTATTTTTTTTTGCTTATTTTTCCATTTTTTTGCTTCTTGCATGTACATGGCGACAGCGAAATTATCGATTCTACTACATGTTTGTTTTCTCTACAATGCTTCTATTCCTATATATTCATGGATTTTGCTGGTTTTACATCAAGAGGATCCAAGGCTCGGAAGAGATATCAATTTGGAAAGCAATGATCAAAACTCCTGCTTCCATTGTACTGATAGTGTACTCCTTCATTGCGGTTTTGTTAGTTGGAAGGCTCGTAGTTTTTCATACATATCTAATCGGCGCAAATCGGGTTCGATTACGATTTGGCCTTAAATGTGACTTTTTATCGTTTCATCTTTTATGTATTAATATGTGTTATTCCTTTTGTTTTTGTTTAATGTGCAGACTACTTATGAAAATATCAGATACCGGTTTGATGAACAAGTAAACTCGTATAACAAAGGTGTAATTGAGAACTTCAAAGAAGTGTTCTTATCTTCAATTCCTCCATCCAAAAACAATTTCAGGTCTAAAGTTTCAGTTCCTAAAGAACTATCGAAATCATCGAGACGAAAGGGTGTTGATTTAAGTGAAACATTTGTGCATATTAGCAAAAAAATAGAAATAAATGTTGAAGTTTTTGATGAGATATATGATAGAGAATCGAATTGGATCACTGATGATAGTAGTAATGAGCCTGTTGACAACTCAACAAAAATAGCTACACTTGCAGAAAAACTCAAAGAAAAAGAAGAAAGTGATGCTTCCAATATATTCATTTACTTTTGATGATGAATAGAAATTGTAGAAAGTGATCCTTTCAATATGTTTAGTTACTTCTTTTTTTTTCCTTCTTTTATTTTGTTGAGATTTTAAAGGGTTATCATTTTACTAAACAACATTGAGTTGCCATTATATTGATAGTTGATTTGTACAATGGATGAGTTTCCTCCCATGTCATGTTAACTTCATTTTGTGCCTAATTTGACACTGTTGTATGGATTATTTGGTTGATAGTTGAATGAAAAAATATCTTTTAACAATCCTATCATATTAATTGAAGATTCGGCTGTGTGAAAAAATACTTAAAAGTTAGTGTTATATAATGATTCTATTTAGTTATTTTTTATTTTTTGAAATTATTGGTAATATGGTAAATATCATACATTTTTCGTTAAGAAACATAAATAAAATAGAAACGTAGAGTTGGGGTTCACCGGTTTTGTCTCATCTGTATAGTTCTTTGTGTAAAAATGCACAAAAGGATACTTGTTTGTTTTATTCTTGCGTCTTTTTGCTACAAGACTAAAGCAATCAAAGTAATATTTGCTGCTAGGGACAAGGTTGATGGTTATTTCTTAGGGGATTGCACTAGAATTTATGACTATTGTCATGAACTATTAAGAGTTGATCTAAGGTTAACGGTTAAGTTAAATGTTGAACTTGTTCAAGAAGGTGTTGAGGATCAAAGACCCTTTTTTAGAAAGTTGTACATATGTTATGCAGCATATAAAGAGAGCTTCAAATTGACATGTCATAGGTCTGGATGGATGCTTTTTGAAGGGGCTCTGTGGATGACAAGTTTTAGAAGCCATTGGCATGAATCTTAATGATCAGATGCTTCCTGTAGCATTTGCAGTTGTGGAGGGTGAAAATAAGGATAATTGGCATGGTTTTTGGAGCTCTTAATTAATGACCTAGGAGGTAGAAATGAGTGATTCTCATACACATTCATTTCAGACCAACAAAATGTATATAAACTTGATTGTTTCCTCTTATTATTACATTATTTTTTCTGTTATGTAAATTTGATAACTTTATGTTATGCATGATGTTTTGCAGGGTCTGCTACCTGTGATGGATGATCTTTTGCCTAATTCTGAACAAATATTTTGTGTGAGGCATTTGAATAATAATTTTAGGAAGAGGTATCTTGGAAAGATGTTGAAGAAATTATATAGAGGGCTGCAAAATCAACATACTCACAAGTTTGGGAAAGAGAGATTATGGGAATGAAATTAATCAGTCAAGATGCATATCTCCATATGATGAAGACCCCACAAAAATATTGGAGTAGATCATATTTTAGGACAACTAACAAGTGTGATGTTGTTCTCAATAACATTTTAGAGTCTTTTAGTAGTGTTATTCTTGACTCAAGGACTAAACCATTAGTCACTATGCTGAAAGAGATCAGAACCTACATTATGGAGAGTGGGAAAACAATAGAATGAGGTTTCTGTCACGGTGAGAATCAGATGTCAAATTATTAATTAATTTGAATCTTAATTTATTGGTTCACCGCTGGTCTTTTATTTGTCCAAAGGAAGGGAAAAAGATCGAATTACCCACAATGCAATGCAAATGCAAAAGCTAGAGAGTTTAGGTTCGGGGATTTGTTAAACTTAGGGAAGGTGCTAGCATCCTAAGTTTCTGTAGTACTCTACAAGAACCTCTTGTTTTAATGTGTTTATTGCTAAGGGTTATCTGCTTAAGGATAAAAGACCTAGTGGTTTATTTCTAAGTATACTCGCCAAGAAATCGCATCTTGTGCCTACATATCCTGACGGGAATGGAATCAGAGTATCTGTTGTTCCTCCTAAAGGGTTTGAGGAAGTTCTTGACTATGGTCAAGGTTCCAAAGGATAAGGATTGTTGATTGATTGATTTTAGGAGAAAAGACAAGTCGTCATCTTAAGGGAGAACACTCGACTTAACCACCACAACTTGTAGGAGATGATATTTGCATCGTCTTGAGAGAAGGGCTCAAACACTCTGAATTGTCGACGAGTATGCCACTATCTCTCTCAAGCGGAAAAGATCTTAAATCTCACGATTGTGTTATGGGACAGGAGAATTATATCTCGACGGTCAAGATGACTCACGTCTAATTCTCTAATATGGATAATAGTTTGATTGAGTTTGAATATTGGTTTGTCTATGTTGTAAAAGAAAAAGGTCCTCCTTATGGGGTAGGGTCTAAACTTAAACTGATCAACTTGAAAAAGATCAAGGATCGAGCGGAGAATAATGATGCATATGAGGTGCAATACGCACGACTTATAAAGTCATGCGCAAGTTCTTCCTTTGGACATTATGCGATACAATAGAATAAATAAAGATAAAATAAAGAAAAGCATAATAGATATAAATGCTAAGAAACGAGCCAAGCGCGGGGTGTGAATATTAAAATAAAGTCAAAGTTGAGAGAGTAGGAAGCAGGATGAAAACGCGTTGATTGAGTTTTATGCGAGATTAATTTTAAGAAAAGTTATATTAAATTTTTAGTTTTAATAAAAAATTAGATGTGGATTACTTAAATTGCTGGTTAGAAATAAATTAAGTAAGGATTTATTAAATAAATAAAATAGGTTTTATTAAATAAAAAGATGTTTGTTATTATTATTATTAACTAAACAAGATAATTATTAAATAATAAAAGGAGGAAGGTTATATTAAAATGTGAAATGGATTTCTTAAATAAAAATACTCTTTTTTATTATTAAATAAGTGCAAGTTATCTTAAATTAAGAAATAGTTTTTATTAAGAAAATACAAATAATTTTTAGTTATTATTAGTAAATACAAATTAATCTAAATATATAAAATGAGTTTTTTTAGAATGTGAATAATTTATCATATTATTGAAGAATAAATATTTAGTTGGTGGAATAAATAGGAAAGTTAGTAAAATGTTTTAAATAAATTTATTAAAAAAAAGGTTAATTAATTAAGAAGAAAGATGTTAAACAAATAGAGAAATTAATTGTTTTAACAAAAAAAAAGGCTGATTATGAGAATGATTTAAATATTAATTAATTAAAAAAGGGCAAATGATTATATTAATTAAAAAAATAGATTAATAATTTTAGTGGTTAATTAGGTTAAGTGGATTTGGACGGATTAATTAAGGTTAATTAATGAGATTAATATTAGTTGATTAATTAAATTAGAAATTAAGTAAATAAATAGGTTAGTTAACCGATTAAATTAGGTTAATGGGGAGTTGATGAGTTAAATAGGTTAATGATTACGTTAATTAGATGCAAATAGGGTTAATGAAGAGATTAATGGTTAATAGGAGGGGGCGAGAATGATCCAGTGAGGGTGAGGTAGTGAGGGTGTGTGGTAAGGTGCAATATGGAGTGATGGATCATGATTTGATGATGGATGGGCGGTGGTGATGGTTCACGGTATTACTATGGGGTGCATGCAGGTGATTACAACACAAATAAAAACAAAAAACTGGAAAAACCCTAATCCTCATTTCTAATCCCCTTCCACCGTTTCATCTCTTATCTCTTCTCCCCTTCATCGTTCTTCTTCTCCTTAATTCTCTTTTCTTCACCGTCCCGATCGCGCCCTCTTCTTCTACGATCCTCACTTTCTTCTCTCGTTCTCACTTTCTTCTCTCTCTTCTACTCTCCTTCACCGTTCTTTTCTCTACTTCTCTACTTCTTTCTCCGCCATTTCTTCTTCTCATATCGTGATTTCCACTCTTCCTCTCTGTCTCCTTTTAATTTCCTGCATAAATCAAACAAACAAACAAATTTAAAACGTTCGCAAAGATTCTCACATTTAATGATTTTTTGCAGGTTTTGACGGCGAATGGGTGGTTGATTCGTGGTGTTCGGTTGAGAGGGTTTTGAAGGTGTGGATGGTAACGGATTCGTGGCGAAGGCGCGGCGGTTCGCGGTTGTCGGCGGAACCAAAGAAAGATAAGTTTCTTTTACGATTCTTAGGGTTTTCGATTTGGTTTTTCCTCTGTGGATTTTTTCATCTGCCTGTGGTTTTTTTTCAAACGTTCGTGAATCTTCCCCCTTATATTCTTGTGATAATTAAATCATGATCCTTTGTTTTTAAAAAACTACCAATTTCGTCTGAACATGTTCATCCGGTTTTGAAAACCAATTAAAGACCTTGTCAACTTAAATTTGGAAAGTTTAATTGTTGAATCTGCCCCTTGAGTTTTTGACGACTTTATTGCCTCTTCTTTTTTAACAAACGTTGATGCTGCTTGTACTTACAAACTATAGTTATTTCTAATGCAGGAAAATGAAGGATTCTTGACAACATACTTAACATACAAATTTCGGATATACTTAAATATTCTCGGGGATCGCCAATTCTAGGATGAGTTACCAAGATAAACGCTAACCCAGAAGGAGTTTCCATGAAATTGAGTTTGTATGTTAGGTATGTGTTTGTGACGTTTCTTCTTCAATTCATCCCGAATGTTGTCGTATTTTGAAGGTCAATTAATCGCGTCTGTGTTTTGGTTTGTAGGAAATGGTGATGCCTCATCGCAGATGGAGCGTGGGTTTCTTAAGAATGGCATGGTGCCGATAATACCACTTCAACTTGACAATAAGACAACTCCTACTTGTTGGTGAGCACTTAATCGGATAATCTGAATTCGTAGGCGTTTTCTGATGTTTTTATGCTATTGAGATACTCATGAAACCAAGCTTGAATAAATTTATGTAGGAGCTACGGCGAATAACGACGGAAGCAGCAAACATATTGTGTCACGACCACGCACTGAAGGATCTAAATCTACTAGTGGCGGAGATTGACAACATGCTACCGCTTTCTAATTCGCGAGACCGCTTATTTGCGTTGGGTGTAACACCCCAAATTTTTATTGGAATATTTAAATTAATTTATTTAATTGAGAATATTCGTATTTTGGTGATTTTGGGTGGTTTTGTGGAATATTGGAAATTTAATGGAATTTGGATTATTTATTTTGAATAATAGTATATAATATGGATATATTAATATTATTA